ACCATCTTCCGTCATCGATCACCCCATGGATCAGTTCTCAATCGATCTGGTATGTATAGATTCGCCAGTAACGACGGTATAGGTCATGTACATCTAATCATGCCGCGAGTTTTTCTGCATCCCCTGGAATCTGAGTAACCTCGCCTTTGGTCCAAGAGGAGCGGGATGCTGGGAGAGATCCCGGGTCATGCGCCTCCCATTTACGAGGTGCATTTAGGAGAATGCATCGAGCTGCAATCTCTTGCACCCGCGTGTCCTAGGGTGGATATACCCCGGAATGCAGTGTCGAATTCGCCATCAGGCAAATGACCCGCGAAACTACTCGTTAACCATCGCGCTTCGCTCGCTTTTCCGTTCGTTTCACGGCCAGGCGCCCTCTGCAGGGCGGGGGAGACCGGAGTAAAGGGGGAGAGGAGGGCAGCCCTCCTCCCAGGAGGTTGGGAAAGGTCCCGAGGGAGTGTCTGCACTTTTCATCGCAGTCCTCCCGGGTCCTCTCCCGGATATCTCCAGGGGTATCCCGCGGGACTTTCGAGAGACAATCCAAAGTCAATCGGCAAATCGGCGCGCGTCCCGGGTCCTTTGTTACCCTCTCTCCCGACACGTCCTCCCGAGGGATAAAGCACCAAGAGAGGAAGTGCGTTCGCCGATAAAGCTGGATCCCTTCCCGTGGAACGAAAACATTTAAGCGACCTCCCCCGGGATCCGACTCGTTCGATTCCGTTGTCTCTTCCCGCGGGACCCCGGTCCAGGGATGCACGGGAATGGGATCAGTTTGAAGCGAAAGCGAGGGATAGAGCTCTTGTCCACGGGACACGAGTCCTCGCGTCGATGGGGACCAAAAAAGGTCCTTGATGGTCCTGACGGGATACTCGGGCCTTAACCGCTCCCGGGGGACGTGGGTTTTCCTGGATTTTCGTCCTGTTTTCGGGGCCTCTTTGAATTTCTACAGGAATTTTTTCTAGCTGACGGTCGACCTATCTCCTTGATTTTATCAGGTACTCTTTTCGACTGTGTCTTTTGAGCGCTTCCTGCGTCTCGACTCTACCCGAAATATTCCGAAATATTCCCTGGCGAGATACCCACGCGAAATAGATTTCGTTATCACGATATTCATCCTGCATCGGCCCTCGTCGCGCCCGAATAATCTCCCCGCGAGATCGAGCAGCGGCCGGGTAACCGCCCCGGCGGATATTCCGCGCGCAAATGGTTCAGCTCAGGAATATCCGGGAAACTGGGGAGGGGGGACCGATGCACCGGCTGATCGATCAGGATTCGCTGATTTCGATCAGCCGGATCCTTTTGCTCCTCTCCATGAGGGGAAAAAAAATAAAAGTATGAAAAAAGTCTCACCCAGCATCCCTGCAGCGGAGCGAAGATGTGCTCTTCCAAGAGACCCTCTCGTAAGGGATGAATCCCACCCTTTGAGAAAGCATTCCAAATGAATCCCCCGGATGATTATCACTTTGATAAGTGTAATCGAGTACAGATACATCAGGGATCGAGGAAACGGAGGACGCGCCGGTCCTCGCCGGAAACGACACCCCCGGTGCACCACGGTGCATAAACTCGGGGGTCGCGATGCACCCCTTGCACCCCAGTGCTGACCCACTTTTGGCCTAACGACTATGTTAATTTAACGAAGGCAAAATGCCGAGCGGAAACGCGAGGGTCTTATCACCGGTCTGAAGAGTCCGCGAGAAAGGAGCGAGGGGGTGCGGACGCCTGGGGGAGGGAGACATCTCCTCGGGGTGAATCGGCGAGCAGGACGTAAGGAGCCCTCGGCTACTCCATTCACCTTCAGGGCGCGACTTTACGGCGAGTTGCGTTAAATAAAAAACCCTGTCGAGCACGCGTCACCCCGTGGCGTGTCTCACCCTCGTTCACCCTTAACAGCCACTCGTCACCTCGAGTTGCTCGAATTACTCGCAAGGAAGTCGGGATGAATGCGGCTGACGTGTATTGGCGGTGTAGAAGACGCCACCCCCTCGTTACCCCTTTTCTTTAACTAGCCCAATAGGGGGAGGGATGGTAAATGACGCGGATGCCAAGACGAATGCGCTCCTACCCTCAAGAGATGAAAGAATCCAAGTGGAGATAGAATTCCCAGAGATGATCCAAGACTTCCCTCCACTTCGTTAATGACCTTCCCTCAGGGATGCGAGATGAGACTAGGGGTGGGTTTCGTATATAATTTCCTAAATATGGTGTTATTGAATGTGACAAGTGTACGAAAAATAGGAATGCAATCCTGGTTTGAAGAGATCCAGGAGGGGGAGGATTGAGGAGGGGTGGGTCTCTTCAGGGGCTACTTCAGGGTCCACCTGTAGTTAATTTCGGCTCGTAAAGTTGTCAGAGCTCGTCCCTGGATTCACGTGTAAGATTCCCTCCCCTCGATCTGTGATGCTCCCCCAGGTGTTCCGTTGGGATCTACCATCCCTTCACTTAACCTCCTAAACTCCCGTCCCCGTTTTCCTCTTCATCCCCGAAGCGTTCGGCGTCCCACCCCGGACTGGCACACTTGGGCACGCAGGGTGTCATAAAAGGGTAGGCGTAATGCCACCTCCAATTTATGCGCCTCCTTTATGCGCCGTGCCGGCCTGAAAGGCGTTCTATTATGCCGCGGCAAGAATATAGCGAGAAGTGAGCGCCGGGGGTGTGGACCAGCCCCGAAGGGTGGCGCAGCATCCCTTGCGGTTCTTCAAGGCCTCTCGCTTGCATCCTCGTACCATCTTCGGCGACAAAAAATTTTCCAAAAGTCGTATCTCCATTTTTAACCTCAAACTCCATATCACTTGAACGAAATACGCAGCCACCCCTCATTTCCATGGATATTTACGGCGTTTACATTTTTTAATCAATTTTTTAAATCCAGCAGGACCACTTTCAAATTGCACCCGCAAACCCGGACTGACATAGGCACAAGTAAGGTAACCACCCCATAACTTCTCCATCGTTTTGCAGATATATTAACAATGTTTTATCAGGCATCAACCCCTTGAATGGATGCTCAGTATCGGTTCACCCCTCGAAGACCACCCCTTGTCAGCCGAAACGGCCGCGACGTAACGCGCGTCCCCGCGAGCGCACGCAGGGTAATTTACGGGTTCTCGTAGAGGAGAGGGCACCCCTCCCCGGGGGTAGATTTATGCGGAAGCGGCGAGCTGAGCACCAGGGGAAAGACATTTTCAGGACACAATATGATGTATCCCGACGATCGTGCCTACACGAATGCATCACGTTATTTGCGTGATACGGCCGAAGGAGCCGAGCATAAATCACCTCCGCGGGGCGGCGCGCAGGGGTTGATACGCCGGGGGGTGTTGCGGGGGTGGCGGGACGTTTCCGAAGAGCACAAAGTGGAAGATAGGTGCCTACCGAGAATACGACCGTCATTTTTATCCCCCGCTCCGGGAGGGGTGCCGACGATACGAGAGGCGTGATTCCACTGCGGACATCCGCGCGGAGGTGGTTCACCCCCGACCCACCGCCGTCCTGCCCCCGAGGCCGTCATTGACAGCCGGGGGGATACTTACGGCTACTTCTCGCCCCCCCCCGGAAACTTTTCAACCCGCTAAAGTCGCCGCCACCCCCATCGATCTCGCCAACTTTTTTTCCATAACCACCCCCAGGGGTTGGAAGTCGCAACGGTCTTGTTCCGAGGTCGCCGAGGAGTCGACAGGGTAAATTAGGACGTCGCGGTATAAACGAACGTCAAGATAAGCGCTTGTCAAGAATGGGGTGACTTTTAGGGGTGGTCAATTTAATTTCATATGAATCTTATTTTTACGAGTCACGATTTATTAATTTTATCACCTTCCTGTTATAAAGCATCGGGGGGTTGACCGGTGGTACCGCTCCAGGGGGTGTCTCGCCCGTCCGAAAGTACCCCCATGGCTTTTCGCGCCACCCCCGGGGAAGATACCGCCGCTAATATGGATTTATTGCCGCGCAGGAGTCGGCGGTATATGGACGCCTTTAATATAGGTTTTAAGAGCGGGGTTGGCGGGCGGGGGTGTTTGCGCGAGATTGCCCGCAATTTGTAGGTCCGCTTCCCGAAACTTTACTTCCCCGTTATCAAGGCCCCTGAAGTTGCCCCCTACCCCCTGAGCTAAATAAAAACCGGACCATCCCTCGTTACGCGCCGACGAAATTATTAATCCCACAAAGGGTGGAGGTCGTTAGGAGGGGGAAAGGGGTAGCAAGGCCAGACGGAGGGCGCGGCCGAAGAAAGAGCCGCGGAGAAATATGTATTACGTGTGCATATATGTAGATATGTATATATATACACATGCAGACGTCCATATATGTATATACGTGCCCGCGGATCCTCCCGGGAAGTCCTCCACGTGGTTTTTAACATTTTAAATGCGAATCTCTCGCCTTCACCCCTTTCCTACCCCCTGTCTTCGCGGTAATGACCACTTTTGTGCGAGAACGCCCTCCCGGAGACGAGATATTAGACCGGGGGTTGCGCACCCTCTCTGGAGGGCGTCTGAAAGTTCAAGTGCGGAATGCCCGGTCGAAATGAGACCGAACTTCGCCGGAGAGTTCAACGAGGGGTTCGCTTGCACTTGTTCAACGACCGGGTGCAAAGAGCAACCGTATCGCTCTTCAAGTACGATATCAAGGCGCTCCGTTTTTAAAAAATTCACCTTCACATTGCTTTATCATGGACCCTTTCTTCTGTTGATATTTGTCATCTGATGGAAACGCGTCCTCCACCCTTTTATAAAAATTATTTCCCCACTTTTACCGAGTTCCTCGGAAAATTTGTAGGTGGTGTCCTATCTGGGAATCTCTTATCAGTTATCAAGGAGATAGGGCGAAGTTATGCCACCAGGTGGAAAGGACCTTCGTAACTAATACGGAGCGCGATGTAGGACGACTCGGGAGTTGGTTCCTCCCGACACAATCGTACTTCCGCGGCGGAACGCCCGCGTCAAAATGGCCGCCTACTCGAGTCCTCTGGTGCGCGATATCATTGTTCAGCAAGCCCTTACCTGGCGTATTTGGGGTCGAGGCTCGGGGCGTACATAGAGCTCGCTGAGATGTCTTCGTCCGGGATTTCGCCGTTCTCCATGCCCAGCGCCGCGGTGCATTGTCCTGAAACAATTAGCATTGTGCTCGATATTAATCGATGCCGAGGCACGCGGTGTCGGTGCATTACGCACGCATTACACTTGCATTGCGCCCCGTGCATTCGAGGGGTGCAGAACAGAACGGAACAGCCTGGACCATGGTCCCCCGACAACGGCACACCGAAAAACATGGGGACGATAACAACCACCCCCTAATATCCGCGGCAATAAATTAAGATAAAATGGAATATCTTAAATAAGTCCCTCGAATCTAAAATGACAAATATAAATGGATTCATAGATAAATTCTAATGAATTTCCAAGAGGCTACCTGACGGGGTAAAATTTTAGGTTAGAGTTTGGAATTTCAGTTTCATTTCCCGAAAGGATCTGGAGGACCAGACGGGGGCAGGGCCGCTGTGGAGATCCGCGAAGAGCCCCGAAGAGGGAAGGATAGGGCTCCCCTCTCCTCTCGGGAAACTTTCTTTCGAGATCTTCGGCCGGGGACGCGATAATGCTGATTTCCGCGAGAGCGAGTTTCCACGGTGGAGTTTCTCCGGGCTCCGGGCCCGGAAGAGAGCCCCGAAGCCGCGAGCAGCACATTTATTCGATCCCATAAATCCACCGGGCGCCTCGTATTAGGGACCTCCCCGGCCGGAAAATGCAGGGAACATTCGCCGGGGTCCTCGCTGAAACTTTTCCCGAGGATACCCTCTTCAAGTATATATCCCGGGGCGGAAGATGGTGGAAGGGAAGAGCCGATGCATGGGGTCCTTAGCTCCTCGACGTCCTGGTGCATCGCCGTCCTTCGATGGATTCGAAACTCCACTTTTCAGGGTGGTCTTTCAGGACTTAAATTTCTCCCGAAACCCGCGACCCCATGCTTTCGATATTCGGGGGATGATTTCCAGCCCCGGGACATCCGGCTTTCGGCTGGTCCTCGATGCACCCTGGGGCCAAAACGCGGCGGTGATAAATCGCAGAGTCCGCGGTTCCCCCCTCCCGCCCCTCACTTAAATCCGGGGGGCAAAGTTTCAAAACTGCAGAATATAGCGGACGCGGATTAGCCGCCCCCGGCGAACCGCAACCCCCGGGGTATTAGCTGAGAGAGCGACTTGGGGGCGTTGGTAGCCGCTCATCAGGATTGCTCGAGAGCCACCTCATTACCCCCTTGAATTGAAACAACCCCCTGCAGACGAAGAAACGCGTGCATCTCTATATCAAAGGCCAATAGGTGCGAGACCACTCTACACCCCCACGGACATGGGAATTCAACCCTTTCCTCTCTCACGCGATTTGGGGGTGAAAAAAGACCAGCCCATAGAGGTGTGTGGGGGTTGGTGATGGTGGAGAGGATGAAGAGGCTACTGGCCAGAGTGGGTCAAACGAAAATGGAACGCCGGGTCGAGGGGTTGGGACGGGGTGGCGCGGTCGGAGTGATAATAAAGAACAATGGGGGATGGAACGGAGAAAAAATACAGAGAGGGAAGAAAGAGGACGGAGAATGGCGGAGGCTGGAAGAGAGCCGACCAATTACCGCCGCGACCTTCTCTCATTATCCACGTATCGAACGCGGGGGTTGGTAAAGCGTCCTTAAAGGGCGGCACGACAAGGGCTGCTCTCGCTTAGGGTGGCAAACGTGCTCGACATACTCCCACGATCCGAATTCCGGGAAAGAACCATTCCATAGAGGAAGTCTGCACCCCATAGGGGAAAATCTTTAGGATATAAAAATTACGTTAATGTATAAAGACCTCCACGCGTCCGAAATAAGGGTTGTAAAAGTTAAGGATACGGTGGGAATAAAAATGTAATAAAAATCTTATAAAATCGGGCATAATTCGCAGTCTCGCGCGCGGATAACTGAGACCCTTAACGGGGGAGATAACATTACACTTAATACCGCTTCATCCCCATTAACAGGGATGTTCCGAGCCGCAGCCACCGGAGGTCGACTCCGCAAAAGGGGTAAGGGGGGTATAATCGTTTCGCGGGCAATTAATTAGCATAAAAATCATAAAGAGTCGAGAGTGCCGCGGTTTCCACCCTGCAGAGGGTGAATAGAGGGGGGCCTGCACCCCCGTCTGAGCAGTCATTAGATGGTATTGTTAATTCGTCCTGCGTCTGACATTTCATTTGCGGGCGTTGTAGACAATGGCTGGGACAGTCTCTGTACACATAAACGAACACGAGGAGACAGTAAGTTATACAGGAGTTCCATGTACACGTGTATGTATAAATATACGTGTATACAGATGTATATACACATCTCTCTGGTGTCTCGGCGTTTATAGACTATGGTGCTATTATTGCGGTAGTTCCGCCCCGGGGGCGGGGGTGTCCCCCGGAGAGGGACAGAAAACCCGGATTCCGGGTGAAAAATAAAAAGAAAAAGCGAAAGGGGGAGAAGAAAGAGGAGAGCGAGGGAGAGGTCTCGGCACGAAATGAGGCGAGAGGCACGAAAGTAGGTGAGCCCGAGAGCCTCGCACGGGTATAAAATAAAAAATCACCCCCGGCCGGGGGATGATTTTTCCAAGGGTAGTCCGAGGTGGGGTTGCGATATTACGCTCACTGACAAAAATAAAGGGTGAATCCCTAGCGCGAACTTATTGTCGCGAGGGGGTGAACGCGGAACATCCCCCTCGTCGACACCCACCCCCGTGCTCACCCCTTACGACCCCAGTCGCCTCTGGCAAAATGGAGGCGAGCAGGGCTGACGTGACTTCGACGACACAAGGGATGTTTCCGGAGGTCCGGGTCACAGGCCCTCGTTTGTGAAGGGGGTGGAAGGTGGAAGGAACTTGAAAATCGGAGTATTTCAAAATCATTTGTACAGAAATTTGGATGTATTTTGATATCTTTAACCGGTCACAGTTTTGGTTGGCCACTTTATCAGAGAAAATGGCTTTTCGGTCGAAAGTCACCCCCAACGTCACTCACCCCCTCGAGCGCCGGAGTCCTGGCAATCGAGTCCACCCTAAATCATACACCCCACTTCGTACCAATGGGCGAAGAGAACCTCTCCCTGCAGTCTAGGGTGTCCAAGACGGGGGCGCAGGGGCAGCCTGGGGGTGGGATCCGGCCCGGGGGTGGCAAGTTTGCCGGCCACTTTGCAGCTGGACTCAGCAGCCCCGGCCGGGCAAAACGAACGGCTGGAAAGGGTAACTTATGGTTTCGCAGGTTCACGACCTGCTGCTCGATCGACCATAAAGGTAATGGTCAAACCCTTCGAAAAGAGGGGGCGGCGAAGTGACCTTATCTGGGGTAAGGAAAAGCTCGCGTGTCGTGATCGGGGTCGATCCTTGCCAAGGATAAGGGGGGTTTACGGTAACGGGAGAAATCCCGAGTCACCGGCACGAAAGTCCCCGCGATTAATTTCGACGATCGCCATTTTCCCCGACAGTCACCCTCGGAGAGGGCGAGGCAACGGAAGTCGGGAAAAAGGAAAAGTACAACGGGGCTCGAGGCGAATTGGGAGCGCCCTTTCCTTTTCAAATGGAAAATAAAAATGCACCGATTCTAACTACGATTTATAATTTTTCAACATTCAGAATTCGTGACATCTTCGAGTAGAGCTTCGAATTATGCACTCTGTGCATAAATTCAGTCAGGGGGTGGAGGGAACTTAGGAAATTATTAAAAGGCCTCGAAATGATCCGCAGTCCCTCCCCCCTGGGATGGTATAATTTAAGGACGTTTCATGATTGATTGGCCCTGTCAGGGTGGGAGATTAATTCCAAGGATAGCTATTTTCTCCGATCCAGGGGGAGAAAATGAGACCCGGAAGAGGAAGTCGCTCGTGCTGGCGGTGTTGCCCAGATTGGCGTTTATGGGTTGAATCTGGGTTTTGGATTTTCTGAGAGGGGGTTGGAAATTTATGTTCCAAGGTTTTCACTTTTCTACTTGATTTAACATCTATCTACTATCGATCTCATTTTTTGGGAGTGGTGGATTAGGCGGTTTTAGATTTTAACGACTTACCGAGATCCAAAGTGGAGGCGCCAGGTAGGGACAACAGGACGAATATTAAAACGATCTCTGCGAGGCAAGGGTCACCGGTGCCGGGGGTCGACATGATGCCGGGCAGGTTCATTAGGTCATCAAGAGCTTCATCGTCGCAATTCTTCGTGGTCGCGAGCAATTAACTGCCGCAAAAGATGGTCGCCATTATCGCCGTGAAGGACGCCATGGTTGGTCCTCGACCGGCAGACACCAAAGGACGTCGTCCTTGTTGGCCCCGGTCGGTCGGCTTAAATCCTGAAAATCCAAAATTCTCGTTATCACCTGTCGTTGGATGAACGACACCTCTGAAACCTATCTACAAGCATTAATAAAATAACTCATCGATAACTAGATAAGTAGATAGCTCGATAAGGTCCATCCTCCCCATAAACATGGCACCCATGAATAAATGTCGAGTCTAAGTCGTAACCTAAAATGGCCACCGTCGAATGCATACATCACAATGAAAATAAGCCTGAAATTGGTTGAATAAAACTGAAACGCGAGAAAATGGTAGAATTCTTCCGGGGGCACCGAACGGCGTCGTTCCCTTTTCGGAGTTGATTCGGGGACAATCGGTTAGATGCACCACAATATCATTTCGGTCGCATTTCCCAAAGCAGCCTCTCGTTTATTCGACAACGAACGACACACCGCGACCCACGTACGTGGCATCTCTTTCGCGAGATGCAATTGAAGCGTTCCGTTCAACGATTGCAGTCGTTGCAGCGCATCGAGTCGGCGCCTCCAGAATTCGTTTTCCCTCTTTTCTCCTTCACCGTCGGTGACACGAAAATTTCACTAGCCGCGGAAAACGTGCGTGCCTCGTATCCCCTGCTGGAACCGCACGGCAAGAAGTGGCAGTGCACCTTGCGTTGAATAAATAAAAAAAAAATAAGAAATTAAATGCAGGTAAACGTTGCGGTGGAATTTTCGCTAAAAGAGGAAAATAACCATAACGCGCGCGTAATAACTTCCGGGAAAGAGAGAAGGGGATTTTTCAATTTCTCATTTCCAGGAACGTCGAGACGTCTCGGAG